ATTCGACTTACCACAACATTTTACAAAATTCAAACCAGATGAAATAGACATATGTTCTCTCAATCCCTCACTCCATAATGGAGACTCGATGAGTTAATGTCATTCATCTTCAAATTTAATTATGTGTCTCACCCTCGATTAACGCTGTGTCAATCGTCTACTAAACCTACTTTAGTTTTTTTTTCACTAACCGTTCAACATTTGAAATTTGAGGTTTTAGGATTTCACGATTTGAGAGTTTTTTGGTGATCTATTATTCGACGTGTTTTATGGAAAACGAAGGTTTTTAAGAAAATGTTTGTTGTTAATTTTTTGTATTTAAAAACTAATGCTTAGTCTTTTTTTTGTTTCAGTTAAACAAAACGTTGATTGCATAGAAGAGATTATTACGGGTGTTTAGTTTTTTTATAGGTAGAGGGTTAAATTTGTTAATGTTTTTAGTTCAGGGTTTTATTTACTAAAAAAATAGTTGAGGGTTTAAAAATTGATCTCACCAATGTTGAGGGGTTTTTTTCATTAAATTCCCGTAATCTTTTGATCTAAACACTTTGCTAACCAACACTTAATGTATCCATAATACCAACTAAAAAGAATAAAAAGAGAATTGTAGATGGTTACAGTGAAATATCAAAATTATTTTATTGACAATTATTACATCTTACAGTAAAATATCCACGAATGAATAATACTGTGAATAAGATATTTTAATAAGTTATAGCTTTATTTATTTATTGAGAAATTTATCTAATTTAATAAATTTTAAAAATTCAATGTATAAGTAATTTGTTTTTGTTATAAACTCATATATGGAAATAGTTTTTTTTTTTTTAACACTTGCAATTTTAACACTCATATATGGAAATAGTTATCGCGTTTAGAAACTTCACATTTTTAAATAATAATTAAAAACTGTAGAGTTATATGTAATTTCTTTTTTTAGAGATATATATATGTTTATATAAGGTTTATATTATTATTAATTTATGATATTGATGGTGTATAATGTATACATAAAATTTATTTTTAAAATTTACTCGCTCTGTTTCATTATAAGTGATGTTTTAGCCAATTTTTTTTGTTTTAATATAAGTGATGTTTTCAATTTTCTATGCAAAAATTTAATGTATTTAATATTTTTTGACCAATTATAATTTACATCATATTTTCTTATTGGTTGAATTCATATTAGTTAATGATGTTTTTATGGAAAATGGCTAAGTTATATGTTTAATTATTTAGTGTGCCAAAAATTTAAACATCACTTATAATGAAACAAAGAAAGTATTAATTTATCAAATTATGCTAATTATTAAATTATTTGATTGCATAAAACTTATTAGTTTATAATAATTATTAATTTATCGAATATTAATATACTTTATAAGAGTTTTAGTGTATTTTTAAACATTATAGTATTAGTGAAAATGCTAAACCGTGGTGGTAGCCCATCAAAGCAACGAGATCAATTTAATTGAGTCCACATAAATAGGATTAGCCAAATTGGCCCATTAATGATAATGATATTGGCTTAGGTTTTCAATTTGTTTTATCTTTATCATGTTTTCAAATTCCAACGGGTTGTTGTACATATATATATGTATAGGGAATTATATATACGTTGGAGAACTCTTTAATTTTTTTTTCTTCTGAGCTCTTCAAATTATATAACAAATCAATGTTTAGTATAACTTAAAATGTGAATTCAATAAATTTTTCATTTTATTATTTTAGATCTTAAAAATTTGATCATACTTTTATTCTTCTTTGCTCATATTCAGGCTACAAGAATAGTGAGTTGAAGTGTTTGTATTCCTTCTTTAAATTAAATTCAATTTTATAGGAGAAATTTGAATTAAAACCAAATTAAAATTGTATTAGGTTTATATATATATATTTTTTTACTTTTCCTTTGGATCGTGATACGTATTGACATGAACCAATTAACCAGAATCCCATGCCATCTTGATTTTGTTCTTTTATAGCACATAAATATTGTTGGACCAAACAGTTTGTTGTATGAGAGGTAATGCAAAGTCTCTCATTTTCTATACACAAATAAAGGATGAATTGGAGAATGACTATTTCACATTTTCATATAAATTGATATTCAAATGATTATATATAAATATCAGTCTGTATTATTTAATTATCCAAATATTCATTCAAATTTTTGATTGTTACCTTCAAAAAATAAATAATGCAGTTTGGAAGATCACCAAATTGGTATTGGGTCAAAGAACGACGCGAACAATATAATGAACTATGACAGCTTTGGAATCCACATTGGAATAATTAACAATCCAATAACGTGTGAAACTATAGTTGTAATTTGGTCCTGTAAGGTGTCCTCTTGGTACCACAAATAAATAGTATAGATGTTTTAATGTTTTGAAAGGATATAAGATGTTGAAAGCTCATGATGTCTGCTGTTTCACCTTGTACCTTTGAGCATGGCAGCCATTAGAAACGACCATGTGCTTGAATGATACTGAAAGAAAAATTAAGGATGCTCCAACCTTTCGTTAGAGGTCCTGCCTCGCCTCTCGTCCATTCGTCCTTAACAATATAAACCTCAGTTGGGACTTGGGACCATGCCTCGCCTTACCGCACTTGCTTCTTGAAAGTTTCAGTTCTGTTCAAGAAAGACTTTTTTTTTGAGCAACCTTTCTAAAGCTCACAAAACATATATATGTTGATCAAAAAAACTGTTTTTGAGCAAGCTCCAAAACTCGATTTTCTCTTCCACTTCCAATCTCCTCCCGCGATTCCCGTCCTTGGCCAGTTGCGTAGCCGTAGCCTTATACTAACCCATACCACCAAAAATGACTTTTAATTAATTAGTTTGTCTTTTAACGGTTGAACCATCTATTGATGTAATGTTTCTGATGCTTATACATTGAACTTTCAAGAACTTTAGTGCAAGAATACAAATGTTGGGTTTCTAAGAAGTTCTTCAGCTGGCTTGATTCCTATAAAGTCCTTCTCTTCCATCAAACTTGAAATATCATTGATAGATTGAGAGAGTGTTGGAATTTGATTCATTGTTTAGTCCTGCAAAAGAGAAACGAGTAATGTGAAGATGAAGAAGAAAGAATAAAAGCTGAGACGTGAAGCAATCAAGGAAGAAGAAGAAGAGTTCACGAGAGAGAAGGAAACGAAGGAGTGTGTGTTGTGACTTTAGTCACAACAAGTGAATTAAATGGGGAAGAAGGCCGTTGGGCCTTTATGTAAAGTCAGGCCCATATGTATAAATGAGTTCTCGAGTTTGTTAGTAGTAAGCTAAAGTTATTAGGTTAAGGTCCTTAAGGATAAAGCATTGGTATAAATATGTTGTAATGTTGTAAGAAAAGATCTATGTGAGTGAGATTAAGGAGATAAGGTTGAGTGGCTAAACCTAAACTCTAAGAGTTCCATCAAGAACATACAAAGAACTAATCTCTTTTACGTGTTCTAGATGTTTTGTGAGTAAGAGACAAAACACTAATCAAGAACAAAAGAGAGATGAGATGAATCTAACCTCTAAAGAGGATGAGGTCAACATTCCAACAGAAAGGAATGCTGCAAAATTAATAGTTTACCAAAAAAGAATTGTTAGTCGTAAAGGATGGATCTTGGATCATTTACAATCCTATATCTTAAATTTTGTATAAGTCTATGTTTTCTTTGTATATCAAAAGATAAGTCAGCTCTAACTGCGCGCAATCTCTAGGTCAGCTCTTCAACTTGCTTCTTTAACTTGGTCTTAGCTGCTTGAAGTGCTCCAGTTTCTCGAGCAGCCTATGTGTAAAATTTAATTTTTTTAATAAAAAATACTCAGTTAATTTCATGCAAAATTAATATCTTCACATGTGAGCCTTTGAGAGAAAAGACCATGTAACAACACTAGACACATAAAGAAACCACATCTTACCATCTTAAGTTTTCGAAGTTTTCCACGAGCAATCTTTGATCTCCATGCTTGCACATTGGGTTGGGATAGCTGCTTTCTTTATTTTTCTGTAATGTAGTCGAGCCAAGTATCCCCGACACCAAGTCTATAATAACATTGAGCATTACCACAATGGTGAACGACATGGTGTGAGAAGAAAGAAAAACGAATTTTAAAAGCATTAAAAATTTTATGAATTCTTTTTTCTCATAGATAGAATATAAATGTTATCTAACAACAAAAAAAAATTGTATTATTACTGAAGATCTCTTAAACAAATTTTAAGAAATAATTCTTACATAAGAAGCACTCTTAACAAATCTTAAGCTAAAATTTGTTTTAGAAACCCTTAATAATGTCGAAGACAACTATCACATTTCTATAACTTCACCAATATGCAAAATAATCTTTAGAATGAAATCATCTTATATTACAAAATTAAGAACCCTCGAATAATCAAACAATAAGACCATGATTATTGGTAGTCTCTTAAAGTAAAGATAGTCTCTTAATTAAAAGCAAAAAGTGATTTTTGGAAAGAATGGTTTCTTAATTAAGAGCAAAAAATTGAAGCTTTTACCATTTTAATTAAGAGTAAAATATTGTTAAGACCAAAACTTAAAAGCTCCCCAATAATATTGCTCTAATATATAAAGCGAAGAAATGTCAAAAGGTGGGAATTATTACAATTAAGTTGGTCTATTTCAATTTAAAACGGTCACACAATGTAATACATAATCGAAATGATTATTTTTAGTTGGGGATAAGAAATTTGGATCTACCTAACCTGACCTTAGACCAACATTATTGGGGGTATCTTAGAGGGCTAAGATACTCCGGTTTTTGCATAGAAAGTATCTTATATAAGATTTTTCTTTGCAAAAACCGGGGTATCTTATCCCTCTAAGATACCCCCAATAATGTTGCCCTTAGAATTCTAGAAGGATTGAAGATAGACGAAAGTGGAAGGTAAGATACGTGGTAGAGAGAGTGAGTACGTAGTGAAAGTTTCTATATATAAATACAACAATGTTGGTATGTAAAAAACATCATAAATTCGTGTCTTCTTTTTTTTAATAAACCAAGAAAAATTATAACATTTTTGTTGAGAAAAATGGGTTTTGGATCTTCTTCACCCTCGAAACCAATTCATGTAATGATGGTTTCATTTATGGGACAAGGCAGCGTCACTCCTCTTTTTCGTCTCGGCAAGCTAATTGCTTCAAAGGGAACAGTCGTTACCTTCGTCAGTCCTGAGTTTTGGGCGAAGAAAATGAGAGAAGCTAACAAGATCGTCGACAGTGAGCTTAAACCGGTTGGTGCTGGTGCAATCAGGTTTGAGTCTTACGACAAAGAATGGACTGAAGAAGATGACAGCAGAGGTGATTTCAGTGCGTACATGTCACATCTCGAGGACGCAGGGAAACGTGAAGTGTCTAAACTCGTAACAAGCTACATGGAAAAGAAGGATCATGTCGCGTGCTTGATCAATAATACTTTCCTTCCATGGGTGGGCGATGTGGCGGAAGAGTTCAACATTCCTTGTGCACTTCTCTGGGTTCAGTCAGCAGCTTGTTTCTCAGCTTATTACCATTACCAAGATGGCTCTGTTCCTTTCCCGACAGAAACTGAGCCTGAGCGTGATGTTAAGCTCCCTTGCTTTCCTGTCTTGAAACACGACGAGATCCCGAACTTTCTCCATCCTTCTTCTAAATATCCCGGGTTTTCGAAAGCGATTCTTGGACAGTTCAAGAACTTGAGGAGGCCCTTATGTATCCTAATGAATTCCTTTAATGCACTGGAACAAGAACTGATAGAGTACATGTCTGCTTTTTGTCAAATCAAAACTGTTGGACCGCTTTCCCTATTCGCTAAGGAGGTGAGCTCTGATGTGAGTGCTGACATGTGCAAAGCCTCGGATGAATGCATCGAGTGGTTAGACTCAAGACCAAAGTCATCTGTTGTCTACATTTCTTTCGGGACGGTGGTTTACTTCAAGCAAGAACAAATGGAAGAGGTTATTTACGGAGTTTTGAATTCGGGTTTATCCTTCTTGTGGGTGATTAGACCTCCAGTGAAAGCAATGCGGGTCGAGGCTAATGTCTTGCCTCAAGAGCTTTTTGACGCGGCTAATAGCGGTAGAGGAAAGATTGTGGAATGGTCTCCACAAGAGAAAGTCTTGGCTCATCCTTCAGTATCGTGCTTCGTCTCTCATTGTGGATGGAACTCCACAACGGAGGCTTTGTCTATTGGAGTTCCGGTCGTTTGTTTACCGAAATTGGGAGATCAAGTCATGAACGCGGTTTGTCTCATTGATATTTTCAAGATGGGAGTTAGGCTTGGTCGTGGAGCGATAGTGGATAGGGTTGCGCCGAGGAAGGAAGTGACCGAGAAGCTTCTGGAAGCCGCGGTTGGGGAGAAAGCCGAGGAGTTGAAGAAGAATGCTTTGAAATGGAAGGCCAAGGCAGAAGCCGCAGTGGCTCCTGGAGGATCATCGGATAAGAGTTTATGGGAGTTTCTGGAGATGATAGGTGTGAGAGTTTCGCAAGAAAAGCCTAACATTCATGCATAAAAATTTATTGCATTTTAGCCTATGGTTTGTGATGCAGCGTTTGTTGCATACTTGATAGGCCTTTGCTTCGGTGTTTGGTTTTTGTTTTTGGATTTGTAGTTCAAATAAGTTAATCTTTTGTTTCAGATTGGCTTTATCTTCTTCTATTATGATTAAGTTTCGTGAGTCTTATACCCAATTCTATCTATGTAAACCACTATTTACATTGCCTCTTTATGGTCAATTTCGTGAGTCTTATACCCAACTCTCATTTTTATCCCTTGGGGACCATTGCTCTACAAGTTGATGTCACGTATCTTCGAACGCATTGAACACGACCAAGCAACTTAACTCTGGTAAAGCTGACAAATTTAATCACATGCACTAACTACAACATTACATGGCTTTGGATATATGAAAGAACTCAGACATATTCATTGAAAAATCAGTGGAGGATGATACTGGTTTTATAGAGATATAAGTAGAGAAAATTATATTGTATGCCATGAACAATATCATTTCTTCTATGAAATGCCATTTTTAATCTAGTATTCTATAAAATGCCATAGTACCCACTTTTAACTCATTCAAATGACAGTTTTGTCCTCTACTCAAACTTTCTCTTTTTTCTTTCATTTTTTCTCATCTCTTTCTTTCTTTTCTTCTTTCTTCTTTTCTTTATATCTCTTCTTCTTTCATCTTTTCTTTCTTTCTTCAACAACAAACAAATCTTTCTACAACTCCGGCAAACTAGTTCCGGTGAACCAATTCCGGCGGACTAGGTTCAACGGACTAATTTTGACAGACCATAACCATTCTCAGCAGACCAGATCCGACGGAAAAGTTTCGATAGATCATAACTAGTTTTGGTGTAGCATGACCAATCTCGACAGATCAATGGCTACATACGAGATCCGTTTCGATGGACCAATTCCGGAGGACCAGATCTGGCGAATCAGTCTCGGCAGACCATAACCAATTCTGATGGACGAAATCTGGTGGACCGGAATTAGTAGACCAAACTTGTCCATCATACAGATCTCTTGAAACCACAAGCAATTAAGGAGAAAATAAAACAAATGATGCATCTATAGAAGACATCATCAACGATCCATCTAGGTATACACTTTGGATCACACATTTATGTATAGATGGACTAGATCTGTAACATGTCTTTGTTTTTGTTTCCTAATTTGTTGTCCATTATACTTATATAGTAAAGTAAATCCAACTGTTTTTAAACGAACTTGTCCATAATACATATGTTAGATGGATAGACAAAAAAATTGTCTATAATCGAGTGTGCACAAAAAAACAAAGAGTGTCGTCAATACAAAATAACTTGTCTATTAAATAATGTCCATAATTATTGTGACAGCTGTAAAAGTGTCCCATCTCATATCAGATTTTTTGTCTTCTTTCTTTAAGGGCATTTTTATCTTTTTATTTTAACATAAAAAAGAATAAGACATTTTGGAAAATACAAAGTGGAAAGTGGCAGTTTTAAAAGAATGAGTTTTGAAAGTGGCATTTTATATAAAATTCCCATATAAGTAATCATTTAAAAATTTTAGAAGATCAGTTTGGGTTAAATTTTCTGACCCGAAAATGCTTATTTTGACTAATACATCAGTAAACTAAACTGACGTTAAGCCTTGTTATATATATAGAGTAGGTAGTTTGATTGGCTTACATAGACTCGAATTATCAGAATTTGTAAATGTCTAATAATTTAAAATAGAAATAATTTTTTTTTTTAAATGAATGAGAAATATTATAGGGATTGTCTTTGATACACGTAGTCGGCTTGGAATGCTTGGTCCAAAAAACGGACAACTCGTGAGCTCTTGTATTTTGATAGCTTCTAGATGATAACACCTTTAAGGTGCACCAAATCATAAGATAGTTGTTGGGGTTGGCTTTTGAATGCGCTCAACGGCTCAAGTCTCGGGGCTAGATGCAATGGTCACTCCTGCACTTGATTACTATCTTAGGACCCTCTAGTTGATGTAGAAGTTTCTCTAACTCATACGTTTGAAAAAATCCATAGTAAGAAAACTTCACATATGCATGTCGGGTGAAAGTTGCTTTGGGAAAGTAATATATTCCAACCTAAAATCGGTATTGAATCAAGATTGTAAAACAAGTCACTTGTGAGACTCTATCACCAATAGAAGAATGGCAATGCACTTGTGCACATGCTCGTTCAAGTGAAGATTTAGCGAACATATTTACCGAGACACTTCTAACCACCATATTCAAGAAGTTATGTTCATCATATTGGATCGTGTCGACTCAAATTTTTAGTTAATGTATACATGAGGGAGAGTGAAAGTACTTTGTATTAATTTTTCCTTCACCATGGTTTTTTCCACTAGGTTTTTCTGTTAAAAATTTGAATCAGGCAACACTTCTCGCATGTACAATTTGGACTACATTCTTATAAAGAGTCATACAAGAGGAGTGTTATGAATAATAATATGTATTATGTGCACGTCCAGTATATGGTACAATAGTACATTTTTATTAGGTTCTAGATGACTTAAAAATTACAATTTCCTAATCTTTATAACATTTTAACATTCATTTATCTTATTATATAAAGTTTGATTTTTAAAAATGAGTAGTTTTTAAAGAACTGTCCTCCCATGACATGTTAATATGTCAAACTCATATATTTACACTTGCGAGTCATTTGAATGTTGACTGCTATACCACAAAAGATGACGTTTAATTTGTCTGCTAACGGTTGAACTATTTGTTGCTGTAATGTTTTTGATGCTTATTCATTCGAACTAAATAACTTGACAGAAAAAATAAACCAAGAAAATGAAATTGAGAAGAAAAAACAAACGCAGCGTTTTATGTTCAAAACAGTAAAACCATTGAATGAGTAATGAACTGTTCTTTAAAACTTTGTACAACAAACAAAGAGATCTATAACTTTTCAACATACATATGAATATGGTCACTCTAAAAACAACCTTTTTTTTTAAAACGAAAAATTTGAGGTCAAAAATAATAAATGAATGAATAGTTGAGAATTTTACAGAAAGCAGCCAAAACAAAGAGGAATTTACACTTTTTCCCATTTTTTTCTTCTTTTGATTCAAGAAGGCCCCTCCCCTCTTCCACTTCAAACTAAAAAAATATCACAGAGGAAGAGCTTTTCAGAATCTGAGCTTCTCAAACTTTCAAGAACTTTAGTGCAAGAATACAAATGCTGGATTTTCAAGAAGTTCCTCTGCTGGTTTAATTCCTATAAAGTCCTTCTCTTCCATCGAACTTGAAATATCATCGATTGAGAAAGGAATGCTGCAAAATTGTAAAGGATGTTAGTTGTAAAGGATGGATTCTATACCTTGAAACTTGTATAAGTCTATGTTTTTTTTGTATATCAAAACATATATAGGCTTACCTGGAATCATCATCCAACAAGAAAGAGTCACTATCTGCATCATTGGATTCCTCTGTCATGAGAGTCCGCATACTCGATATCACCTGCGAGAGATTTTGAAGTTTGTTCAGCATCCACTACAAAAGTCTTTATTGAACAAGAAGGATAATTTTGGTTTTATCTTGAAAGTCAAAGAAAAGTTTTAGGTACTTCTTGTGAGACGCTTCGAGTGTTGTAGCTATCATCCCAGTATAAGGTGCAAATAGCAGAAGATTGGAGAATTGTAGATTGAGAGTGAGGTGAAAGCGTTAGAAGTTGGTAAGATGGAGGAGAATTAGATGAGGTGGTACAAAAAGGAAAAGTTGATTCATCAAAAACCACATGATGAGAAATGTTTATGCGACGAGAAGAGAGTTCAAGACAACGATATCCTCGGTGGTTAGACGGATAACCAAGAAAAACACATTTAGTGAAACGTGGTGAGAGCATGTTGGCGGTTGGAAGAAGATTGGGGTAGCATAAACAACCAAAAACGCGAAGATGAAGCGGATTTGTTAAAAAGGCGAGTAGAAGGATTTTGATTGTTTATGGCACTTGAAGGGAAGAATGTTAAAAAGATGGGCAGCCATGTTTAAGGCTTCAACCCAATAGGTTTTGGGCATATTAGCTTGGAAGAGAAGAACACTAACCAAATTTTTGACTGTACAAATATGTCAGCGCGCCCAATTTTAATTTAATCAACTTAATTTAATATGTATACTATTTAAAAAATGGAAAATTTCATATAAATTCCTCAACTAAATTACGAGAAGCTTTTTAATACCCCAACTAGTTCAACATCTTTTAGTTCAACTTATTTGATTGCAGACTAAAATATTTTGTATGTAGACAACTTATAAAAAATAGTGATGAACTAAGAGGGAAACAATCAAACAAATTATACGGTTCCCAAATAAGCTTCTAAAGCTAAGCTAGGCATTTGAAAATCTATAACAAACTCATTTTCATATATCCCTATACAGCTATACATGTGATTCATGAACCTGGAAATATTTCCATATTGGGTTCCCTCGAGACAAGACAAAAGAGATTGATGAGACAAAAAAAGGTTTAGGAAGAATTATATTCGACTCTGATAAAAATAATATTACAACTTACATTTTCTTAAATATGTTTTAAGATAAAAATAAATGTAAATAATATATATTGTGACAATTAAATGTAAATAATATATATTGTGACAATGTTAAACTTCGTAAACTCAATATTAAATACATTTATCAGTAATCTTCTACTAGAATAATATTTTTTTGATTTCTATATTTTGGGATTAACATCTCGACCGTCGATCTCCGGTTCTCTATCTTCGAATACCCCGGCAAACTCATACGTATGAGATTAGACGAGTCTTCAAAAATAACCGCTTTATACTTGGTCATCTGAGTCACCATCGATGTTTATATCCGGTTGTGGGAGCAAAGCGGCTATAATATCCGGCCGGATCATTAACGACAATACCCGGTGTCAAAGCGAGTACAATACCCAGCTGTCGAAATCATAACTTTGGTAGTTATCTTCGTGGCTCCATCTTTATTGTAGTTAAGATGAATCCACATGAAGAGGGTGATCTCTTTTGCTTCTTCCTCACTGAAACCTCCCACGCTCTCAAAGCAGAGGAACACTACCAACCTAGATGGTTGGCTTGTTGCTTCTCATCAACAGAATCACGAGTTTCGTTTTTGTGATGAAAAAGTGGTCTTATTGGGTAAGCACGGGCATTGGAAAAAAACTTCAATGTTTGCCTTTAACCAGCTTAGGAACAATATTCACTAAATAAGGCCATCTCCACTGGTTAAAGATAATTGTAGGTTTTTAACCATATTTATATTTGAAACTAGGTTTTAACATATGGTACACTACGAAATCGTTTTTCTTTTAAATAAAAAGTTATAATTTAAGTTAATCTGTAAAAGATTTTAAATACAGACCATCCATGAGAAAAATATGTTTATATTTATGTAAATTCAAACCTATTCAATCATATTTATGTACAATATTATTATATTTAATTTTTTAAGAGTTAAAATATTAATAATACTTTAATTTTTTGTAGAGTTTAAATATTTTACATATTCTATAAACCTTAAATTAAATATTATAGTATTTGAAGCTTTTAATATTTATAATATTTTAAACTTTTAAAAATAAAATTTATGATATTTTGAAACTTTGAAAAAATTATTTTTTTAAATAAAAAATCGGATTAAACTGAATAAATTCTCATAAATTTTTTAATTTGGATGACTAATAAATTAAACTTCTCTCTTTTATAGGTGGAAGCATATTAGTCCTATTTATAAGAAAAATACTTGGGTTCACCCCTAGGGGTTGAATAAACAAGTATTGCTCTATTTATAATGGTGTTAAACTATAATCTAAAATTTTATACCTTATATGTACACGTTTTACATAAATTTTTTCCTTTATCGATTAAGTAATCTACGTCCGTTTTCAAAAATTTATATTGAAAATATGCGGAAAGATTTGTATTTTTATTATACATATATTTTATGTAATAATATAAATTAAAAAAAAATATGATTATATTAATATATTGGAGAGAGATTGGATTCATTAGAGAGAGTTTTTAGGGAATATTTTTAATGTACTAAATATTTGTTTCCAATTTTGTGATTTTCTTTTAATTTAATTACAAATATTTACTTTTTAAGTTTTGTTATTTATACAAATGGTAAGAGTTTAATTATGCAAATATTACAAAATAAAATATTATAACCCAAAATGGATTTTAGTACAAAATGTACTTCAAAAATGTATATATAGATATTGCAAAATAAAAATAGGAACTCATGGAAATATTTCTCAAAAAATATATACTCCAATTACTCTAATGGTAAAGGTTCTTTTATTTTATTTTTTGAAATATTGTGTGTAAAGTGTTTTTGACTCTCAAAACTTATAAAAATAATATCAAAACATATAATTTAAGTCCAAGTGACATGTGAATATCTTAAATATTAAAGAAGATAAAATTGAAGTACAAAGAGATGAGATGACCTTGTCTAGATACATTTGCTCAACCAACGAGAATCGGACACAATATACACAATATTTCCTTAACAATTCTCAAAACTCTAATTTAAGCACCAATCCTTAGCTTACTTTTTATTTTTTTTCATTGTATTAATTACTTTTAATGCTAAGAAATCTTATAAGAAACTCAATAAGCACCTCCAAAAATAGTTGAGACAATCATTCAAAGTTTGAATATTCTTATTAATATATGATTAAAACGAAAAAGTAGTATATAGAAATATGAAAGATGGCATAGACATGATAATTTAAGACTTACTTAAATACAGCAGAATTTAAGTAGTCAAAAATTATTTAATTAATATAAAAATGCATAGAAAAATCTTATATAATGGTATAAGGAAAAAAGCCTAAAAACTTTTATATAATGGAAGGAAGAGAGTATTTGATGGAAAAAAAAAAAAAAAGTAGTACATGGAAATATGAAAGATGGCATAGAAATATTGCTCAGCATTGAATAAACTTTAAAAGACTTAATTTTTATGCTTATTCGGGTACATACGACAGAGACTCTATTCCTTAATAAGTCTTGGTAACGTCTTGAATAAACATTTGCAAGGCAGTTTGAGACGATCCACCATCCATTAAGGCTACATGACATTTCTTGCTCATCTCCTTCACTCTCTTCCTCACGTCACTATCTTGTCCCATTAGACTCATGATTCCTCTCTCTATCTCCTCTGCCGTCACCAAACCCATCTTCTTACCCCCCATTAGATCACCTAGCCAATGCTTTCTTATCTCCACTGCCAATCCAAGCTCCTCCACCATCTCAAATGCGTTGAACTTTTGTTCCGCGTATAAGGGCCACGGCGCGGTTGGAACACCGAACCAAAGACTTTCGAGGATCGAATTCCACCCGCCGTGAGTAACGAAACCTCCCACTGCCGGACTAGCAAGCACGGCTAACTGCGGAGCCCATCCGATCACTTTCCCTATCTCCTTTGTCCGATCTAAGAACCCTTCCGGGAGAACTTGTTCAAGATTCTTAAACTCTCTAGGCTTTTCCTTAAATATATTCGGAGATGCGCGACGGAGAGACCAGAGAAACCGGTGGCCGCTTTTCTCCAGCGCTACGGCGATTTCTCTTGCTTGTTCCTCACTTAAGCCTCCCAAGCTCCCAAAGCAGAGGAACACAACCGAACTCGGTGGTTGTTCTTCTAACCACCGTAAAATCTCCGATTGCTTCTTTTCCTTGGAATCATCAAGATTCAACAATGGTCCAACAGGATAAACAGGAGGAGTAATGTCCCTATCACCACCGGAGGAAAGAAAGTTTAACACATAAGGTTCAAGCTCAGCAACAGTATTAACCAAAATACCCTTCATCTCTCTAAATCTTCTCGCTTCATTTACAGACATGGGAACCCGAACTTTAGATGCAAGAGTGTGAGGGAGACACTTCACCGGATAAGGACGACTCAAACTCGGAACGTTCAACACAGCTTCAGAGTCTTCATAATCACTTTCAATCACATCGTATTTGTTCTGATCGTACAACATCTGAATATGATATCCAAGTGCGAGTATCCCTGCATTAGTCGTGTAGAACATATAACTTGGAACACCAAACTCGTTCGCCACATCTATCATCGAGGTGCAGAACATGCCTAGGACGAACCCAACAATCTTGGGAGAGTTCGGTAGCGTCGAGTAGTCCTTGACGAGTTTAGCAACGGCGCGTTTAACCTTTGGCACCTGCTTCTCGACATGGTTTTCAAGATTGGTCACCCCGGAGGTTGGTTCATCTTCGGCGGAGAGGACTTCGTAGTGGAGACGTTCGTTGGATCCGGCGGTGAGGGCTGCAAAGTAATCGGAAAAACCGACCTCTACGCTTCCGGATATGAAAGGAAGGATCATGACGGAGACTGAAAGGCTAGTTTCACAGTGCACTAGTAGCTTCGCCATCTCCACCGTTGATGGGAGATGACCCATTACAGGAAGAGACACGAAGACAAGCTCTTGTTTCATGTTTTGTTTTTTTCCTTTTTTCTTGCTTAGAACTCCTTCGGTTCCGCTATTTATTAATCTTTAGATTTTATATTATTTTTTTATTTTTTTTGGCTAAAAAGCTATTATTTACGAATTATATTTAGTCTCAACGAGAGGGTGTTAAATAGGTAACCGGATGATGAAAAAAAAAAAAAAAAGATGACAAAAAAAAAAAAAATAGATAACCGGACCCGACCCAAATCAATATGGGTTTCGGATAATATATATAATATGTGTATTTATAGATTTGGTTTTATATTTAATAGGCTTATTATTCAAATTATTATATTATGGCTGTTGGGATTTTTGCTAAATGTTGTTTCGAATCTTATGGACGGTAGTTATATTTCTTTCTTATTTTGGAAACATGTATATCAAGAATCTCTGATATTTCATATTTTGCACTTTATGTTTATGTATTATATGTTTTTAGTTTCAAAAAAAAAGAATAGATGGGTCGAAGCGAATAATTTGCGAATATTACAGAAAATGTTCGAATATTCGATGTTCCGAATACTCGAAAATTTACGAATCGAAACAAATAGCAAAATAAACTATTCGGTCAAAGCGAAACAAATCATAAATTTTTCGAATATTAGCTTCGTGTCCGGGCTAGTCTCCATGATTTGTTACAAAGGAGCGGCGCTTCACGTCATATATTTGGCTTTAGGTGATCCTTCATGGTTACACAGTAGACTAGCTGAAGATAAACGAGGAGAGAAGTTGTCCTAATAGGTTGAAATTATATACTCAAACTCGATAAAAATAAAATAAAACAAAAGAACAAAGAAGAAAGAAAAACAGAAGACGTCTTTAATGTTGAGGCCCTTTTAATCATTGGATGCAACTTCCCTCTTAATGTTGTGGTTCTCGGATAGGAGACGTCTTTGTTTCTAGAGAAAAAAATCAAGATAACTAGATTTTTTGATTTTAATTCGTGTATACTGTATGACACATACGATATTTTAAAATATCTTTAAAAAAAAATTTAATTTTGTTTGGTATATAAATTTGTACTAAATGCTCGTGAAAAAGATTGTATTGTTGTATTTTGATTGTTAATTCTATAATTTACCATGTGTAATAGTGTATGAAAAATTGTTTTTATGTAATAATAATTTGATCAAATTAACTAAATAAGTCTAAAATAATAGAATAATGTAAGCATAACATATTTTGATTAAATAGTTTAATTTTAGATTGAAATATTTTATGAATTTTACTATAGTAGACAACCTATAAAAATATCTATAATTATAATTATGTAAATTATATTCCGCTCTATTACATGATCCGTACTACCCAACTATCAATAATACTTTAGAATAATGAACAATTTTGCATATAATTTGAAATCATATTTATGTAATATCTTGTATTACAAAATATTAAGTTGTAAAATTGAAATGGTGTGTATCATATTCTGAACGTTGTAAAATTACTTCTACATCTGCAAAAAAATGTTTATAATATTTTAAATATACTAGAAATGTGATATATTGAAATATTTTAAAAATTTTAAAAGTTTTAAAGTAGGTAGTTTGATTGGCTCATATAGACTCGAATTTCAAAACTATTTAAAACAGAAATAAATGGAAAAAAAAATGAATGAGAAATATCGAAGGGATTGTCTTTGATACACGTAGTCGGCTTTGAATGCTTGGTCCAAAACGGACAACTCGTGGCAGCTTCTAGAAGATTTTATGACTCATACGATTTGTTTGAAAAATTAAATGTTATATGGTTATAATCAAACACATAGCTTAAAGTACTCATCTCAGGGGCTACATGGTGGAGAGGTGTGGTACGTGCCCCACACTGATTCTTATAAATGATCTAGTTCATTGTCGTCTCCTAACTTGTTTGGTAGAGAAGTGTCTCATTAATAATCTTAGGTAACCAGTGGCGGAGCTAGAAAATTTATTTACCAGGGTCAAAAAAAATTTCAAACCAAAAATACGTAAATATAATTAAAAGCATAACAATTACCAACGATAAAAATAAAAACCAGTAACAAAACTAAATCACACAATATGTCAATACCTAAAGAATTTCTTTTTAAAATTAGAATCTAGTGTACAGAAAATTATGTTAAAGTACCTGAAATTTTACTCTTAAAACTCTTGAATTTTGGAACAAAGAAGAAGAAAGCTCATATAGTCACGATCTGAATTGCAAAAAAGAAGAAGAAACTAAACCGTTTTTGTTTTTAGGTTAATAATAATTAGACAAACAAATTAAATGGACTTAACAATATATATATTTACTTAAAAGAAAAATTATTGGGCTTAAAGCCCTGTACGTTTTAAAGTTTCACAAGGGTCAATTAGCATTGGACAAAATTTCATATGGGTCAATTATCTTATTTGGTAAGGGTCAAAATATTTTTTTACATATACATTCAATTAATTTTAGAAAATTTCATCAGGGTCAACTGACCCTGGTCCCTCTTCATTGCCTCCGCCCCTGTAGGTAACGAGTTCGACACTCATTCTTTTAGTTTTTTGGTTACTTTTCTTTCTTTCTCCGTAGTTCATTTTCAGTAAATAACTAAATATATTACAGTTTTTCCTAGTATATCTAATATATATAGTTTAAATTTGTATTAATAATACATGTTTAGATATGATTTTCATTTTAAATATACTTAGAACCATATAATTGTTTTGAATATATAAATTTTTAAAAAAATTAAAGATTGGAAATTATATTTATTTTAGAATTTTATTATGTAAATTTAATATTATTATTAAAAAATGTTAGTGGCCCATACAATTTTTTTTTTCTAGATCCGCCCCTGGCCTCCCACACTTTATCCAGAGCGATAAACTTTTTCATTTCAGGATCCTATCCAAATCCAGAATTTAAACGTTGAAGGTCTAATTTTTTTTTAATATAGGCCTCTCAAGTACTTGCATCTACTTGATTGTCATTTTTTTGGCATCCAAGTCTTTCATAGAAAACTGGTAAATTTTTTTGCTCTACAGTAAGCTTGCTAAAGTTATTGCTGTTATCACGCTAGTTTCGGTGAACTGCATCAACAAGTAACTCTACGAGCATTTATGTCTCATATGGTCCCCACTGACTGTATGAGTCTTTTCCTTACTCTTTTGGAAATCTCCCATTAGCTAAGCATATATGCAGGCCCAGCACAACATGGGTGGACAGAGGGGCAGTGGCCTATGGGCCCGAGTACTTTTTAAAAAATATTCTAAGACTAAAAAGCCAATTTTTGTTGTAAAATAGTAAAATAGGGGACCAAAATAATATTGGATCCATAAAATATAATCCATATCCGGTTTGATTCTCAAAATAACTAATATACGGGATCACGACACATGTCAATTAATCGATTAGAGATTATATAACAAACTAATGTTCACTAAATGGTACTGGTTCAAAGAAAGACACGAACTAGAGAACATAATAATGAAGTGTGTGACAGCTTTGGATCGAAGCCACATTGGAATAATTAACAATCCAAATGGAGGGAAAAACTACAGTTGTAATTTGGTCATGTAAGGTATTGTCTTGATACCACAAATAAACCGTAATCAAATTGGATTAAAACTGAATAAAACTAGTATATATATGTTGTTGTAATGTTTTGAAAGGATACTAAACGTTGAAAGTGCACGATGGCTACACCTACACACATGCACCTTGTTCCTTTGAGCATGGCAGCCATTAGCAAATAGCATCATTGAAACCAAATTAACGATGCTCGGACCTTTCGTTAGAGGTTCCGCCTCGCCTCTCGTCCGTTCGTCCTTTACAAAAAAAAAAAGATTCAGTTAAGGCAATGCCTCGCCTTATCGCACCTGCTTCTTGAAAATTTTCAGTTCTGTGCAAGATAGAGTATTTTTTGAGCCACCTTTCTAAAGCTCACAAAACATATGTTGAACTATCGATTGTTGTGATGTTTTTGATGCTTAATTCATTCGAACTATACCTTTGACAGAAATAAATAAACCAAGAAAACGAAATTGAGAAGAAAAAACAAAGGAAGTGTTTTAATATTTTATGTTCAAAGCAGTAAACCACTAAATAAGTCATGTACTGAACTGTTCTTAAAACTTTGTACAACAAACAAAGAGATCTTCAACTTTTCAACATGTATATACGAATATGGTCACTCTAAAACCCTTTTTTTTTTTTTTTAACGAAAAATTTGAGGTCAAAAATAATAAATGAATGAATAGTTGAGAATTACAGAAAGCAGCCAAAACAAAGAGGAATTTACACTTTTTCCCATTTTTTTCTTCTTTTGATTCAAGAAGGCCCCTCCCCTCTTCCACTTCAAACTAAAAAAATATCACAGAGGAAGAGCTTTTCAGAATCTGAGCTTCTCAAACTTTCAAGAACTTTAGTGCAAGAATACAAATGCTGGATTTTCAAGAAGTTCCTCTGCTGGTTTAATTCCTATAAAGTCCTTCTCTTCCATCGAACTTGAAATATCATCGATTGAGAAAGGAATGCTGCAAAATTAATAGTTTACCAAAAAAAGAAATGTTAGTTGTAAAGGATGGATTCTATACCTTGAAACTTGTATAAGTCTATGTTTTCTTTGTATATCAAAACATAGGCTTACCTGGAATCATCATCCAACAAGAAAGAGTCACTATCTGCATCATTGGATTCCTCTGTCATGAGAGTCCGCATACTCGATATCACCTGCGAGAGATTTTGAAGTTTGTTCAGCATCCACTACCAAGGTCCCTATTGAACAAGAATGTTAATTTTGTGTTTTATCTTGAAAGTCAAGAAAAGTTTTAGGTACTTCTTGTGAGACGCTTCGAGTGTTGTAGCTATCATCCCAGTATAAGGTGCAAATACGGTAAAGCTGCTGGACACTGAGCACCTGTAAAAATGAAGAGAATGTTAGGCAATTAGATTGACCATCAAGTGTGTTTCTAGAAACTTAAGTCCAGAGCCTTACCGGGCAAAGATCGTTTGCTATCTCATCGTATGAAATTCTGTATTTCTGGTGGATAACCTGCAAGAAAAAAAAAAAGAAAAAAAAAATAATGTTATTGTAGTTTAAAAGAACAGTGATTATCAAGA